TTTCTTTTTGTTGGTAACAATGATATATCATAAAAAAATGTAAGAATCCAAAAACCAAGTAAGTATCACATTTATCATAATAAAAACACCCATGACCCAACTCTAATGGTATTTGTCATAGTTTGATTTAAAAAAAAATTCTCAGCTATAATCAAATAAAAAAAAATGAATATTTAATAAACAATTTACAACAATTATTATTGAAATTTGAAATCTACTTATGAGTTCGGGATCAGTGATTTTCTGTAGGCGTCCAGGCCTTAAAACGTTTTTGTTACTTAAGGATGATTCGTTTGCAGCTCAATAAACCTTTACAAGTGCGTATTGGCTAATTTACTAGGTTTTTGTCGGTTAACCGAATTTTAATTATTTGGAATTTTGAGAGAAAAGTACTTTTTCAAATTAAAAAAAATAGTTTCATTAAAATACAAAAAAACTGAATTATTTAAATAAACTCCGGTTTCCGACCAAGTCTACTAAGTAACCAACGCATTTGTTTTTACAGAATTGAAATTGGATCATCTATAATATGTTGCTTGTGTGATAGACAGATCACATAGGAAGTCACCGTTCTCATTCCACATAAGTATACTGAAAGTTTAAAATAAATATTTTTATTTTATACTAAGGAGCTTTATTCTTCATAAAGAAGTTCTACAGTACAGACTTAAGTTTAGCATTCACCTGTATTGTCACCTATAATACGTTCAGACAATACAATGCGACACTCAACATCAATTATCGTTAAATTGCGTTTTGGCGCGTCTCGTCATAATTGGCTTTTTCAATTTTCATTTTAGCTCATACGATTATTATAACTTATAGACATCAAACAGTGTATTAGCGCCTCACGCGTGCATTAGTCAATTTTGTTTACGACCTTTGCCGCTGTAAGAGTATAAAATTAATTTTACATCGTGCACATAAGTGTAAAAGCTGCAAAGACCGTAAAAGGCAGCTATTGCATTATCGTTGTTGTTGGCGTTTTACAACTATGTGCATGGTAAAATTTAGTGTATGGACAGCTCTTTTGTGTCTCCGAAACCGCGAAAGCCTATTACTATTGTTATTATAATGTAGTGGCTCGACGACGTTTGATATTCTAAATAGCCGCATCATCCGGGCCACGTCTACAACCTTCTCCGCGAAACAACCCTATATAGCCGGCTATTGCGAAGGTATATGATATTTTTACTGTTATTATTATCTCTACCTATGTCTCGGTCCTGTATATTATATATAATTTTATAGACCGTTCAATACGGGCGTGGGTACCTCTACGATATTATTACATAAAAGCGAAGCACGGACCACTGCCTTGCGATTATCATGGTGATGATGACGATAACGACGACCACCGTGATAACGGACGTAATGGGCCGAAAGAGTTTTCGAGAGGTTTAATGCCGGGAAAGGGACGAAAATTCGGTAAGCGCCCATAAGTGCTAGAATGAATAACGTACGTTCCAAACTAGAAACATTTCAAAATATCCTACTTGTTGGGTTATTGAAGAAAAAAACGGGAGTTTGCTAAATCATACGAATTTTATTAAAACTTAATTTGTATTTAATATATTAATAAAAAGTAAAAATAGACATATTAAAAAAAAGTGCAGAGGTGTAAAGTGAATAGGTGAAAATAACATTTAACTGTTTTCCCTACGCTTTAATAAAACGTTAATAACTCCAATATTAATTATTATTCAAAACTGGTTTCTTTGATTTAATTTTTTTTTTAATGTATAGGCACATTAAAGAATCTACCTTTTAAATGTTAATACTTTGTTAAAGAAAACAATTAAGTATCTATATAGTTTTCAAAATAATACAGCAAGAAATTGAGTGTCTTAATTAGGTGTGTTCATTAAAAAACTTCACGTTGTTTAAGATATACATTTATATAATATTAATTCCTGAAGTTAACGATCGATTCAGGTAGAAGTTTTTTTTTAGAGGTTTTCAAGTGTATTTAAGATTTTTTATAGTAGAACGCCACGCCATTTGTCTATTAGGGGGTATACTAGTATGAGGAATTTCATATATATATATATATATATACCGTTCTCCTGTTACACACTAGTCTTACATACACTTCAAAGTTTATAGGTGTGTGTACCTACCTAATTGGAGCAGAAGTGGTAAAAATTAATTGTTTTATTGATAATAAACCTTCTATCAGTCGCGTGGTTTCCAGCCACACTTGAATTGAATTCGGTGGTAAAAATTGTGATTCTGCAACTAACTATAATATAGAACATACCGCGACTAAACTTGGACGTTCGTTATTCATTTCATAAGTTTAACGATTTCGCATGAAGTTTATAAACTAATAGGTAGTAGGAGAAACGCTGTCCAGTGTTAGATAAAATACCCCGTAAATCTTGAAACATTTCGACATTTTGGCCAGGTAAAATAGTCCCTCGAGTGCACCTAAGAATGGAAACTAAGGGGTTTAGACTTTAGCACGTGCAACCCTATCACAATGATTCGATTCGTGTAGATTTTCATACACCGGCGAACGAAAACCAATCCCGATCAGTTGTAGTGAGCGAATTAACAGTTACATTTTTATTATAATTATTATAACGTTTTTATGAACTCACAATCTTGTTTGTCGTTCCGGGTGGAATCTTGCAACTCAAATTTCGAGCACTTCCCGATTAGCTATCCGGCTGAAACTTTCAGGGTAGCTCACAATTCGGTGACAATGCATTATTAATCCACAAGAGGTTTAAAATTCCACTCCTAAGGGGGTTAAAATGGGGTCGATTTCTTGTCCGTCGTTCCGGGTGGAATCTTGCAATTCAAAAAGACTTATTTCTCACCCGCCAGCAAAAATAATGCGTGGTGCGTTTGGGCGTGAACGGTGCTCAGATATGAGCGGTACCGGGTTCAAACCTTAAGTAGCAATTTATACTGTAAGAAATCTAAAAGTTTACAGAATTTTTGCATTTTAATACCACAGAATACATGTTTACCATGTATATTCATTATATAACATTGTACATTTAAATATATAGATACGTACATACGAAAACGAAAAAGAACAAAATAACTAAAGTAGATTAAAAAATTAACCTAAAAATAACGTTTTTATGCGCCTTAAAAATTATAAAATAACCCTCCGGGGTCTTGATAACCAAATAGGACAAGTGAACTAGAAAAACGTGGAGCGCATCTTTACTACTTCACACGTCTGAATATATAATAACATTCTCTTCTCATTAATAACTACCTTAACTCATAATTCGTGCACAATCTTTTTTTCTCTTCTAAATAAATAATACTTAATGGCATGTCGTGTAAAATTGAGCACCACATTACTTTAAATGTTAAGCAAGTAGATAGTTAACAAAAAAATTCACTTTCTGATCCGTTCGGTTAGAGAGACAGCATTATGAGAGACAACTTAATGCATTATCATGAAAGCTTAGGTTTTAATATCTAATTAGAAAGATGCGCCCCACGTTTTTCTAGTTCACCTGTCCTATTTGGTTATCAAGACCCCGGGGGGTTATTTTATAAATTTTAAGGCGCATAAAAACTTTATTTTTAGATTAACTTTTTAATTTCGGTTTGATTCGCCAAAAATGCAACGGCGGTTTTGAATTGCTATTATTTCGACCTGTCATAAGAGTCACGGTAACCTGGATAGAAAAACGTTTTTAGAAAATTATTAATTCTGAAGTGATTTGAGTTCAAAAAACACTTTCATTCAAAATGGGTGTTTGAGAAAGCGATTTTATTCAAACTGGGTTTTTTTCTATTTCCTCGGGCCGTATAATATCATACCCGAAAGGATTATTAAATAAAAACAAATAAAGAGATACATTTCAAAACAGATTTGATTTGTTCAATTTTGAAAATTATAGAATTTCGCAACGAACGCAAACAGATGTTTGCTGTACCGCAATCGAATGGCACAAAGAGAAACGTTGATTAATAATTTTTTTGTCTTACCTTCAGTTACTCTAAAGTCTAAACGCGTTAGATAAAGCGCCGTGTGGCAGAGGCGGTATTATTTCGCTACTTTATACGACAAAGTTTCTGAGGAAAATGAGAGATAATATATTATTAGCCGTGAGCATGATTGATGGGAATCCAATTACACGGATATGGATAAGTTTTGTCGGTTAAATCTTCTTCAGTAATAGTTTGTCTACATCGATTATGAATTTTTCACAGAAACAACAAAAATAAAACTTTTTTATTTCCATAAAAAATGATATTCTACGGGGGTTGGGCGTGCGCCATATATAATAAATGACTCTGTCAAAAGCAATTTCGAACAGACTCGAAGATCAATGATAATTAGGCGTTTTAATGTGACTTTCTGTGTAAAATGAAAATATAGTAAAATTTTTGTTTTCACAAAATTATCATACGCACGTTTACGTTTAAGCTTTAGCGCATGTAATGTAATATAATATGAATTTACTAAACGATTGTAAAAATATAGAAAAAATATAAACAAATAAATTGATTGTTCATAAATTTAGAAAGACCGAAATGGTTTTCTTCTTGTTTAACACTTTTGGGTAAATTAAATAACGAAAACCTATTTTTTTAGGCGAATGAGTGTTTTTTTCTACTAAATTCTCTATAGAAATAGAAAATATATATTTTTTAACAAAATGATTTTAACATTTTCATTTTGTATAGTTTCAATAGGTTTATAAAATTATACATACAAGGTTCATGATTTATATTAGTATAAATTAACATGTATTTTGTACACGTCTGTCGATAGAGCATGATGTAACTAAAAATCTAGCAGACTATAGTGACTTGTAAACAGAGCATTGATAATTCAATATATTTTTTTAGGGCCAAATTATTGTGAAAAATAGTTACAATCATATTATGCAATTACCGTAGAATGCCTTGTTGTATTTTAAATGAGAACACGTTAGACTACAGTATTTTATTTTTATCTATTCATTTCGTGACTACAAAAACTAGTGTTAGTTAAGTTTTTTATCGTTTTAAAGAAATATTACCTGTAACGGAGTTGTGGGCCTGTATCCAACTAGGACATGGATAATGGTATAGTGGGCGAGTACTTTTTGAAAAAAATAGCTCGGTCAACAGTAATTTGGCGGAAGATCTCGAATTTTTCTTCTTTAATAGCAGGAGGATGTGCAATCTGCGAATGGTTCCCCTGTAAATCTGAAAAAAATATATATATATATTAACATCATTTGGACGAAACAAATACCGTCTTCGGGGAATTCCTTTAGGCAAAACAAGATTTTTATACTCTTTAAATTCGACCATATCTCTAAAATGAATCAGAAAAAAAACTACAAGCCAATAACAAACGATAGACATAGTTAATACTTTCGACTACCGTTTGGTTTACACGATAGTGGTCAGAAAAAGATAAACGGCTTAAAAAGAGCCATATTATTTGTTCTGTCCTTAGACCAAAGATTTTTTCGGTCATTATATTTTTCGGTCAAGTACGTAGCGGGTCGGAGACTTTGTTGCGGAGAAAGTAAAAAACTCAAATCGAATTTCGGTAAAAGAGAAGAAGAAATTTCTTACTCATTAATTATTCAAAGGATTTCAAAGGACCCGTGCGAAAATATATTTTTTTTTATATCAACCCACCCTACCGTTGTTTAATACTCTTCGCGTTTCGTTGTTATTATTATTATTATTATTCGTACTTATGAACACAGACACCCCCTCCCCTTCTGTTAGTTTTTTTTTTTTTACTCAAAATAAATTGTTTTTCGTGAACGCAAAACCGTACTGAATTAACGTTGACCTGTTACGAAGACGAACGGACGACTCGAAAGTAATGGTTAGGACTTAAGTATAAACAAGCACGATACAAACACAAAGACAAATGGCAAGAAAAAAAAAGTTATAAAAATACATAAATTAAGTAAAACGGTCCACCGCAATAATAGCATACACCTTCGACAAGTGTTAAATCCTTACGGTGCAACGAGACAAGCGCTCTTACGCATTTGTCACTGTCCGGATTAACGTTTATTTGTCGAGGACTAAAATAATTTCAAGTGTTTATTAATCGTCTCTAATTAGGGTCAGACACGAAACGGCATTTAATTGTCTGACCGGTGGCTAAACCACACACGTTGGAATGCTGCGGAGTTTATCCGTTAAGTACACTCGTGTATAATATGTTCTTATTAACAAATCATTGCCGGAAAATACGTTTAAAAATCATTTTTGCCAATTATTAATTATTATAGTATTATCACTACTGACAAGTGACGACAGTTATTTCTCACCGTCACTTAACGTGGTCGGTTCGGTTTAAAACCGAAAAATTCTCAGTAATAAAGAGAGGCCGTTTCGTAAAACTATCAAAACACAGTTACGGGGCAGTCATATATTAAAAAATATACCGTTTGCCAGGTGTTTGGTTAATGATTTTAGTGAATTCGTTATCATAACTTAAAACACTTATCGTTCGCAAACAAGCAGGTTGCCAACATTACATGTTTTTACAATTTTTCGATAGTCCACTTGGACTGTCTTAGTTTAGTCAGTATACAGATATATATATAAACTAGATTGCCATTTTCTGCCATTTTTGTGGGAATTATAACTTTATCACGTGTTTATAAGTGTCATCACTGATTATAACAATTATAAGTTAAGTTGATAGCACTGTACCATAGATTTATACATATTATTTTATGCACACAGCTGTAAGTCAGTAGGACTTTGTAGAAGAGCGCTTTACTATGGAATACAGATGATTATAATATTATATCTTCTGCCGTTAATTTATCTAAAATAGCACGGTAACAAGCCCTCCAACAAAATGGCCGAGCCAACACTTCAGTGTCCGTTTTTATTGTTTTTTTTAGCTTCTATTCCTTAGAAAGGAGAGGAAATAGCGGCGGCTAATTTTTCAATATCGCCGAGGATCATAAGAGGATCGAGAGTCAAATACGCTTATACCTGTATGTATAGGTGTTTTGTTTTACGACAAGGATGGGGGATACCGTTAAATTTTACAACTCCGGATTGGGCAACACAACGGGCGACGGCAACGTTTCAATATATAAATTTTGCATTGTAAAAGACGACACGAGCACAGACCGAGATCAATTTTATGATCGTACGACCACAGACAGCGGATGAATGGGGAAGGTGGTTTGCAGGTCCGAGTAAAAGAATAAAAATAAATACTAGGCACCGCGCAGTAAGTCGGCCTCGGACTTCGGTATAAATTTTTAAATTAAAAGACACCAAACGACGTTGCGTTCGGTCGAACGGGAAAATCGCATTTTTGCAGCAATTTCATAGCCGAGCTTTGTGTTTATTTTTTAAAGAACGTTACAAAAAATAGCCGACTGCCGCCATGCCATATATGCCGTCGTGGTATTAATAATGCACGTTTAGCGGTTTAAGGGCAATACGGCGGAGGAGGATCTTTTAACCGTCGACAGTGTCGGCCAGCATAAAACTTTACGACACTGCGGATTATAAACAAACGCACAAAAGCATTCACGACGTAACGTGGCTACGATTTCTGCGTACACGAGCCACACCTTTATAAAAATACATGTCTCTATCTCGGCACCTGACGGTTTGCGGGCACTCTCATCCACGCCAAGTTGACAGAAGTTGTTTTGTTTGGTTGTTAAATGAGTACAAAAAAAACACACACACACACACACATATAGTTTTGGAATCTTTTATCCACTTATTCCAGTGTATTCAATTCAGTGTTTCCAAATATTCAATCGGACTGGACTCATACAGGTTTCGGTTTTGGTCAGAAAAATGATGAAATTCACGTTAAAATAGTAAAATATTTATTGTATAGATATCGTCGGATTGGAGAACGCGATTAACTTTTCTGTTAAACAATCTTAATTAAAAAAAAAAAAAAAACTAGTACGACTTTTGATCCACTCGAAAAAAATCGTTTGACGAGCATAGAATTATTGTCAAAAAAACCTGATGACATAAAATACAATTTCGAGTGTTCATGTCGCGGACAGACGGTTTGAAGTAAGATTACACGTTGACGTGGGTATTCGATACGAACGGTGAAGAAATAAATTCTCAGTTATTATATACTGACTCTTATTTATAATAATCTATTTACCCGTCGCCTAAACGAGAAAAACTCTCGTGGTTAGCATATTTGGTCATTTTATAAATATAAATGTTATTTAAAGTAATCATTTGGATTACAATTTTTTATTTTATTGTTACTCATTTATTTCAGATTAATCACAATGAAAATACTTATTTAATATAACACAAAAATACAATTGAGTCGGTACAAATACCAACTCGAACCAAAATATTATTACTCGAATAAAGTTTCAGTAATTCGAATTATTAAAATATGCACAATTTATTTCAGTGATTTTAACACTCACAGATGTTATTACCGGAAAAAAAAAAATTACAACTACTGGTCTCCGTTGGGTGTCTGTTGAACAACGTTATGTCGTTCGGTATACCCAAAAAAAGGTCTTTTTATCATTTTATACATACAACCGGGGAGGTCTGCAAACCGGTTGCGGATGAGTTGGCCGGGTGTTCTCGGAAATACAATAATAATAATATGCTTATTATACGAGTAATAGTCGCTGCTGAAGTATATTTTTTTTTGCAAACTAGACTGAAGTTTTCACTTGTCGCACTATCGTCAAAATATCATATTATATTAGTTTACTGACCTAACAACGAACGCGGTAAACTACAACAGTGTACATCGGAAAAAATTGAAATTTATTCATATGTTTAAATAAGAACTCTTGGTCGCTAAAAAAAATGTCAGCACAATTTTTCTTAAGTAAATTCGTTGAGACACAGCTTGTGAACGCGGATGACTTTACAATTAAAAACGACCCGTTTATTTTATTGAGGTAATAAAAGAAAATAATTGTTACTTTTTGTTTCTTATTTTTTATCGGATAAGTTGTGGCGACCACTATATCCATCTACCTACTACTTCATACAAACTGTGTGTTTTCCTACGGAGCAATTAAAAAAAAAACGGTAATAAAAACATTAGTAATTGATAAGCCTACGATGTAACGACGCTAACTGCGAAAGCGGCATAAAAAAGTCATTAAGATTTTACAAGCTAAAACGCGATGCAATACGTAATTTATTTTGTATATTATGCCCTCCTTGCGCTTTTAAAAAGATAAAAAGAAAATATTTATGAGAAACGATCTCCGATTAACACGAGAAGCCGCTGTAGTAAAATATGTTTTGTTCTCCTATAGTGCATACCTTAATAATAGTAATTAAATATTTAGGAAATATTACTTATACATTTGTATAATAAATAGTTGATTAACTGCGAAAATATGATTTTAAAATGTTAAAAAATATTATAAATTTAAAACAGGTTGCCTCGGGGGAATACCAGAACCCTGTAAACCTCGTACTTTTTGGGAGAACACTAAATATTTGCTTGGCTTCAAAAAAAAAAAAAAAACAAACTCTTGGGACACTTGCCTTATTTCCTCCATTTCCCCCCGCCGCAGCATGGCTACGCCAGCTACTAAATAATCATCTTAGTTACACAACTGAGAGTGCATGTAAAATCGACGTTATTATTATTAAATGGTTTTTAATGCTGTACGTTAACGGCTTACAAAAGTAAAACTCGAACTCCTAGTGCGGCGTTTGCGCTGGATGCTGGAGAAACAGAACATGCAATGGGCCACATAGTAAATCCAGTGTTATATTTTATTCTTTCGTGCCCGGGGCAGACGGAATTGGACAGAGAGGTCGGAAACATCCGGAGGAATACATAAGCGAAATAATAAAAAAAAAAAGATTGCCTAATTGGACTAAACGGGCAAGCCGGGCGTGCATATAAGAGCTCTCGGGAGAGAGATTTTGTCAGTGGCGCTCATTGCGCGCGTTAGAAATGATACGTGCAAGCCCGTGTACATAAACCAAGGGCGATGATATTCAGGGCCGGAACCCCACGAGCGTAATTGTGTTGTAATTTTTTTTTTTACCAGTCAATTTGCAGGATTTATAACACCGCCGTACTACGTTAGCGCCGTTTTTTCATGGTATTCGTAGAAAAATATTCAAAACGAAAGAAACGTATAAACATAATTCGCATATTCTGCAAAGAAAAATTTACCTACGTCGAATAAAACCTAACAAAAGCAGTTTTATTGTATAAACGATAAATTAAA